TCAGAAACATGTTGAGGGATCCATACAGGTTTCAGATACATTGTTTATGTTTTGAAGTAATTGACACATGCTTTTTCACAATGAAAAATAAAGCTTTGAAAACTGTGAAGTATTATATAGAAAAAAACTGAAAATTCTATAGAAATGCCTTCCTTTTGTGCAAACAGTAATTTTTTCAAAGACCTCCAGAATTGTAGGAATTTCAACCATAACAGCTTCTTCCACAAAGGTGCAAGCATAGATGATTAAACCATAAAAACACTTCCTCTGAACCAAAATGGTAGATTGATGAAAAAAGCCTACATCCCAGATCATAGTTTTTAATTTATATTAAAATCATCTCTTAGAAGCTGTATCACAAAGGACCAGCAAAAAGTGCAAGGCTTGGCAGCCGAGAACGAATCACCACAGCTGTATGTGGAGGCCGGGACAGCAGGGCTGCTAATAGCTTTACAGTGATACTCATGGTTTTGTTAGTTCCTGACTCCAAGCTAACATCTTCTAACATGTCCGAGTCATCTTCTCCGACTCTGTTTTTCCCATAATTTCTGATCTTTATATATGTGGTCCTGCAGAGCTACACCCGCAGACAAAGCTTTCTTTCCAAATACAGTTGGAGCCCTGGTATGACATTCTATGGAAGGGCAGTAGTCTGTAGGGGAGTTTAGGAGACTTTAGAGAAAGAATTGTAATTGAATTTGTAACATAGAGGAAGTGACCCTGCTCCAATCCTTTCTCTTCACATTGAAAGGTCTCTAGTTTGGAGAAAAGCGGGACATGAGGCTATCTATCCTAGCTTTAGTGGAAAGAGAAAAAAAAAAAAAGCAAAGAATAATGAATTCACACATTTCTTCTTACATCTGTTCTTTAGTCTTCCGGTTTATGGTTGGTGTATAGGATCCTAACCATGCCAGCTGCAATCAACTGGTAGTGGCTGCCTGGAGCATTGAAGCAAAGGTGGTGCAGCCACTTCCGCTCGGTGCAAACGAATATCACAATTGATTAGTGATGTCTGTCAGGAGTTCCTGTACATGTCACCCTGAGACACTGTACAGGAGTTCCTGTACATGTCACCCTGTGGCACTGTTGGAGAAACCACACTAGGCTCTGGCTGAATTCAGCACCTTTCCTTTACCTTTGTAGATAAAGAAGTCAACTCTCTGATTAGCAGCTATTCGTGACAGTTCTACATGATGCTGTTTATTTAGATGGACTGAGAAAAAGAAGAGCTTGAACCAGTATGGCTGGATGTATTAAAATCCAGACAATGAGATGCTGATGCTGTAGCCCTGTCTCAAGAGTCCTGCCACTCCTTTATTATCTTTTTACTCATGGGCTTTTACTACTTATTATGTATTTCACCATATCTCCTCTCTTAATCTATTTCATATGTCTTATTTAACCCATTATAAGATACCAGCAAGGAGCAAGGAGACAATCAAGATGTGGGTTTCATACATGTGAACTTGGTTATTTTCTCGTTAAAGTGGGCAGCCCCTGAACCACAAATTATTTAATTATTTAAGCAGTCTGGCCGCCGTCTGGAAACTTTTGTTCCACTGAAAAGAAACTCCAGTTAAACTCTTTTTCTGTAATGTGTGATCTGAACTTGCAGAGGGGATGTCAGTGGCTCAAAGGGAAACCCCAACAGAACTCAATAATGCACTCTTACAAGAAAACCATGACACCCATGTTCTAGACAGTACTGAGAGAGGATGGATGGTGTGGGGAAGAACATGAATGTCGGGGGTCAGCGGCTCTGTGTCATCAGTGAAGTCAAATCCTGACTATGAATGAGTCTCAGGAAAGACTTACTCAGTATATTTCCTTATTAACTTCTTTATGTTTACAAAAGATGTATTTATAGTTATGATTAAAATAATGTGTGCGAGCGAGTATGTGTGTGTGTGTGTGTGTGTGTGTGTGTGTGTATTATGTCTTAGGGTTTCTATTGATGTGGTAAAATACCATGACTAAAAGCAACTTTCAGAGGAAAGGATTTGTTTCATCTTATACTTCCAGGTAACAGTCTATGGCTGAGGGGTGTCAGGGCAGGGGTCAAGCGGGGAAGGAACTGAAGCAGAAGCCATGGAGGGTCACTGTTTCTTGGCTTGTTCAGCCTGCTTTCTTATATCCCAGGACCACTTGCCCACGGCTGGTACCATGCACATGTGCTGGGCCCTCCCACATCAATCACCTAGTAAGAAAACATGCTATTGACCTCCCTACAGGCCAATCTTATCGAGACATTTTCTCAGTTAAGATTCCTTCTTCCCAGGTATGTCAAGGTTTGTCAAGTTAACAAAACCCAGTACACTGTGTATAATTTACAAACAAAGCATTATAAGTAGTTACTTGGCTTTATGCATCTAGGAAATTCACACACGGGATGGAGATAACTCATTGGTCCACATCAGTATAGACAGCATATGAAGAGTAGACACACACATGAAATCCCCGCTTGTGGTGGCTTTAGTACCTTCCAGTTGCCATCTTCCTAATGAGCCTGCACACTCTTAAACTTACAAATAATAAGCAGAAGGGAGCTTTAGGGGAAATGTTCTGCTCAGTTGTTAGCTGGTAATTCATCAGTGCCATATAATTTAATTTACTCAATAGTAAATGCCAGATGCCAGATCACATGGCTGAAAAAGTGGGCCACTGATTAGCCAGCCTGCAGTTTGGATGAAATCAATCCCATTGCATCGAAGGCGGAATCACCCATTCTGCAATTACCCAGTGAGGAAAATATGAAAGCGTGGAGTGTGTTTTGGCAAGTGTCTTCAGCCATGTGAAGCAAAGAGTCCTGCAAGAGAGGATCTTGTCATTGTCAAAACCGCAGTCTCTCACAATAACACAGCCCTTGGCTGTGCCTCCAGCCACAGGCAGGAACCACATCTCAATAGTTGTATTTAAAGTATATATCAGGGCTGAAGCAGCCCTGTGGAAATTCAGGTTTCTCTGGTTCACATGTATGACATGGCTGAACAGAAAGAAAGAACGCTTGCCTGCTCTGGGTGGCTAATGTAATACTCCTTTAAACTTAGATGGATTCGATGTATAAATTCAAAGCAGAAAAGGCAAAGTGGTTTTTTTTTCCTAAGTGATTTAACTCCACCTGCAGAATAAAATGAAAGCTCTCAAGTCTTTCTCATAATGGAGA